CCCCTGTGCTACTCATGTCAGTGCAGGGAGAACTCTTAGAGAGGCCAGGATTGAAAAAGGGGTGGTGGAGAACCTCCGAGGGTGTTATGCGCTGGTTTGGATCCAATGCTAACATCTCTTTGATTAGGCTGACAAATACATTTTGGATTTTTTCCCAACACCCCCTTATCTTCAGTAGTTGTTCAAGGTCATCGAGGCACTTAAGTTTTATGCATCGAGTGTCCTTGGACTGACAACCTGTCTCATCTTGAAATTGTCTTTCGGTCTTAAATGTCCAGCGTTGTCCGTTGTAGTTGTCTTTTATGAAATAGTTATCAGTGTAAAAGCCAGAGTCTAAAACATGATCTGGTGGCTGTCCCTGGGTCTGTATGATGAATTTCAAAACATCATAATCATTTCTCCCAGGGTAGAAAGGAAACCCTGTAGCAAGCTCCACAGCTACCAGCCCCAGGGACCACATGTCTATTGCTTCATTAAATAGACTACCAATCATAACCTCAGGTGCTTTATAACCAACCGTCCCCACACAGTCACCAGGAATCACTGTAGATGCGGGACATGCAAAACCAAAGTCTGTAAGTTTGACTTTGATGGGACACTCATAGCGGTCCACAACCATTATGTTTCCAGGTTTGAGGTCAGCATGCACTATTCCCAAAGAACCCAGGTGGGACAGGGCATTTGCGAGCTGAAATAACACTGGCCTGATTTCTGTTACTGGGAGAACCCGGTTCCTCCGGTACCGCATGTACTGCCACAGGCTTTCATCGAGGAGTTCAAAATTTAAGCAGATGCGGTCACCGTCGATGAAAAAGTCATTCCATTTAACAATGTTGCATCTATCTGCATCCAAGCCTCGCAGCTTCTCCAGTATGTAAATTTCCATTTTCGCCTGTTGCAGAATTTCAGGGTCGCTCTTGTTGACTTTAATAGCAACGACTTTGTTGGTTTTTGTATTGCAACATTTGGTTACAATACCAAAGCCCCCTTCTTCAAGGAAACCCTCGACCTTGTAGTGACCTCCCAAAAGGGTCCCTTTACATATTTCAAGATGATTTGAGGTGAAAGTCATCTTGACTGAAATGTGTTTGTTTGCTCAGTGAATTGGTG